GGCGGGGGGTGGGGGGGGGGGGGGGGGGGGGGTGAAAGCAAAAAGGTTGGTTTTATGAGGATTAGTAGCTTTTAACAGAGCAAGGCTGTGAGCAGGTGGAGTTCCCACCCTGGTCTGAATGACAAATGCACAGCTTGCACTTCAAACTCATATTCTTTTCCAAAGGATTGAATGGGCTGGGGAGAAGAGTCTTCAGCAGCAGTTGAAAACTAACAGCTAAATATAATGTTAAAATCTAACTATAAATCCAGGTTGCGATCTTTAATGCTCCTAGAGTTTTACTGTCAGCATTGCTGTCCCAGAACACTTTTTTTCTTCTTCTGAATGGGGTGCTCCTGCCCTTGCTGTTCTATAAAATTAAGTCACAATCAAAAAGCAGAACTGACCCAATGGCTTCACAGACAATAAACACCTGTTAATAGAAGACTTTGGCTCCTTACTATGCCCTTTCTGCAGGAAAGGGCAAAAGTAAGCCAGTCACTTTAAGTTTCCTCTTTCCTGCACAATCCTTTCGAGTCCCTGTCCAGAAGAGCTGTTCTATACACCCAGTGGAACACCTACATTTGGGGGAACATAATGCCTTGGGATCATCTTAGCATTCAGACAGGACTTTATGTCAGAAGAAAGTCATAAATCCAAAGCTGACCTAAATGCAGTCCAGAACACACAAAAGATGCTTCTTGAAAGCCTCTCCTTGCCCTGGTCATCTGGCTAAGTTTTGCCTCTCAGAACTCATTTCTGGAAAGGCCTACACAAGGACACTGGCAGGCCAGTCTGCTTCCCAGAATTTTCAGGCTCTGTGAGAAGAATCTGTTTTTCTTGATGAACATGATGTTAACAATCACTATAGGTAGGAAGAGTGACCAAGTGTTCCTCTGCATTCAGGATGTGCATCTGCATCCTTTTACCTCCGTCTTAGAAGTTTTATATGCTTTAATATTTTTCTATAATAAAGCCATTGTTTTTTCTCTCTGATTAATTGCCTAGTCAAAATGCAATAAATGGGTATGTTTGTATTGCTGGCAACTTCATTTCTATGTATTTATTTTCTGGCATTCATCCTAGATCGGTTTTGACCTGATCAAAACTTTTACCATTTCCTTTAAAAAGAAAACTCATGTTAAAGTAGGGAGGTTTTAATAAACCAGTGTCAGACCTTTTTATTCACTTCAAATCTTCTATGAAAAGAAAGGACATTTTTCCCATGGCACTGATGCAAAATAAAGACTTTAAATTTCCTTGGGGGAAAAAAAAAGCAAGAAAATCTGCAGAAAGCAAATTCATAGAGGGTAGGTATATAATCAGGCAAATCCCTGGGTGAGTGACGTTCACAGTATGTGTTCACTATCCACTATTCAGGCAGCAGCACAATATGGCATGTGAACATGTACATGGACTGACAGAAACACCAAAATACGGTGCCGAGGATCACCAGGAAATTCTGCACTGTTGAGGAGTGATGCTGTTGAAAGGCATCACCCTCTCTGCTGCTACACTTGGCTTAGTCTCTTTCAACATCAAACCCAATCACAGCAGACGGGTTTCTCTGAGATGGGGGAGGCCACGCTCCCTCCCTCCATCCTTCCACCACTGTGGTTGCTGTTTGCTCCCCTTCATCTGCCTGGGCTGTATCAATCCTCATAAAAATGTCCTTGTACCTGTTAGTGACATCTAGGGGAAAAGCTCCCAGACAGGCTTACTTACAGTGTTTGCTGTCCTCTCTTCACCGTACATTACATGTGATAAAGTAGCACTGCCTTTATGCCTCCATTTTGTTGCAGGAGGTGGGATGCTCTAGGAGTGGATGCTTTTGTTCAGTGGTGGTTTCCTGTGCTGTTAAGTGGCAGCAGATGGTCGCCCCGCAGTGAGATGAGCCCTGGCCATGGTCCTACTGGCAGGGGCAAGAGCACTCAGCTGTCCCTTGCATCCGAACTGGTTTTATCAGGAAAATCTGGAGAACAAGATAAAGAATCAGATTTCACTAAAGCGGCTCCCCCATCCCCCTGCAGCATCTGTCAGGGCCTGCTGGCTAAAGCTCCACCACCCTGGGAGGCTTCAGACACCGAGGGAGAGGGTGTGCTGGGCCGTGCCATGCTCACTCCTGTTCCGAACAATATGGTTCTTGCCTTATGTTGCATTACTATGGATGCACAGTTTCCATGAAAGGGTTTTATTTTTTCATGGCCACCTGTCCTTGCAGGTCTCTCTTTGCTTTCCCTGAAGTGATATTTCAGAGCTGTCTGTTATAATTTCATTTCTGACTTTCTGCAATTCGCACTTTTCTTTCTCTGACTCTCATGTTAGATTTATTCTAGGTTCTCTTACATTTTAACAAAGGTCAGATTCAAGTTTGCTCTGTGCTGCTCTTCTGAGTACATAATTTAATTCCCTGGCTTATGTCCATTCTTTTATAGCAGTCAATGTTAAAAGTTTTCTCATCCTTGCTCCACACTTGGTTTCTGACAGCCTTATTCTGGGCACTCTGTTGACATAAAAAATTCTTTCCTCTGGCAGTCATATTCCTGATAACGTTAAATCTAGAGCTTGCCATCTGACTCTGTGAGCTCAGCTCTTCCTGCTACACAATGCACTCCAGCAGGACATTGTGCAATACAAAACACAATTTCCATGGCATTCTCCCAAGATGTTGCTGCTGGTTTTCTCTTTGGCTTTTCATGTAAAGACCAAGCAAGTTCTCCTACCAGAAGTATCACTAAATTGATCACTACTATATCATAATTGCAAAGTGATCATTCATAGTGACAGATGTCTAATTGGTAAATACAAGTGGTGCCCCCAACTGTTCCCCAGAAGTCTTGTTAGTAACCCCCTCCAACATCAAGAAAGCTTGGATCACTGAGGTGGGAGTGAGTACAAGTTTAGAGGGGGCACACAATGTATTAGCTCACAGCACTTCATGGTTTTCTTTGCCGTGTCTCAGCCACCAGTGTTTCAGGCTAAGCACCATTCAGAGCTGAGTGGTCAGCAAAGCTGCCTGGCATCATCCCCTCCTTGTGCCAGGTAAACCCTTGTGCCACCCATTTATGCACAAACCACTTCCCCCAGCCCCAGCATGTGCACTGGGAACACAGGCAAGTAAATACACCCCTGCTGAAAACCGAGACCTGACATTTTTGATGACAGCTTTTAACACAGCTCTTTGAATTTCATTTCCTGAGAAGGTTTCAGCCAGCAGAGCTGAGCTATTCATGCAAAACATATGCAAAAATGAGGCAAGCCCAGCAGATGAAATCACTTCTCATGAACAAACTTTGGTGGAAAATGCTTGCTATTTTTGCCATGATAATTGAAAATTTGTGCCTGAGAATCCAGTACCTGCTTCTGAGCATGGACACCCAAAGTTCAGGTCAAAATAATGACTGGAAGAGGCTTTGTCCACCTCTCAAATTGAACTTTTTTTTGCATGTTCAAAAAAGCAAGGGAAAGCTGTTATGCTTGTTTATCTGGATTATATGTTCATTTTATTGGGAAATTATTTGCACACCACTGTTTTCTGCATCAGAAATATTGAGCTAAACCAAAAAACCAAAAGTTTGTTTTCAATATTTCTGTCTAAGTTCAGTCCATTAAAGTTGAAAGTAAGAGCTTGTTCCTATGATAGTTAAAACACCATTTTTACTTGATCTTATTATGCTTTTCTTTGGCTGCACTTGGTACTGGGCTGTTAAAGGTTTTCTCACAGCTGTGTGTTCACTCATTAATTTGTACAGCCTAAAGAAGGATTCATTGCTTTAATAGAATGGGGGGAAATGGCACAGCAAGGTTTTTGTCTTTCAAAATATTCAGTCCTGGGTAAATGCTGTCCTAAAACTATTGCACCTTCCCCAAAAGTAATTCTGATTTAAAGAGGAAGGAGTGGCATAAATCTAGAGGAACATCTTGGTCTGCGCTGCAATTACATTTGCGTAAGGTTACTGAGAGCAAAAGTTGGCCCATTCTCTTCACACACTTTTTCTGTCATGTCACTTCAATATTACCCATTTATTGGTTTCCAAACATGTATAGAAAACAGCTAAAAACTTCCAGTGAAGTTTCAGCTTTGCAAATATGTCATTTCTCACCTGAGAGTGTTTCTCTAATCACAATGATCAGCATCTGCTGCCTTTGCACAGCAGATACTTCCATTTCACATTAAAATAATTTTCATTTATAGAGAGTAAATTAAATATATATAACAATTAATATAATAAATAATGCATCTATACAGGTGACTTGGTCTTGAAAAATGAGAAAGTTTACTTTACAACACTTTAGTTTTGGAAACAAACCCAAAGAACAAGGAGTCATGTTGGAGCTGGTTGAGATCAAGGTTGTGTAGTTCTAAGTCCATTTTTAGTTCATCATCAGCCTCTGACTCGCAGCATCTACAAAATCTAGTTTTTGGTTGTTTTTGTTTTTTTAATTTAGGGGGAAATATCACCTTCAATTTATTTCCTTTTTTAACTCAGCAGAAACTGATTTGAAGGCCAGTCTTCTGCATCACAGAAAGACAAAGGCAGTGGTAGGATGTCATCCTCATATAAATTTTTAATTGAAAGACCAATTCAAAGGGTCACTGAGAGGGAGAGAAACATTGGTTGTTATGATCAGGTAGCAGTCAAAACCCCAGTGAGCAAAAAAACAATCCTCTCCCCATTCTTCTCTTTCAGCTTCTTATTTCAGTTTCCAGTTAATTCTGTTTTATTTTTTTCCTCAAGAAGTGATTAGACTGAATCACATCATTTTGATATAAGCCTACACTTTAGATGCATCCAGCAACTGTGGTATCAACCACCTGGAAAGGTCAGCTCCAAACACCAACTGCAGTGATTGAGGGGCCTTGAATTTGGCAGAAGTCAGGAGCAATCTGACTTTTAATTTAAGCTCAGGGTCTTCTATATTAGACACCCATCAGCAGCTCTGAAGGTTAAATATAGATTCAAAATATTTGGGGCTGGATAGGAGCCTCTGCCCTGTGAGTCTTGAAATCAGAAAGATGGAAATAGTATTCCCCATCTTGCAAATATTTTTTTAGGCACCAAATTTTAGCAGTTCACAGCATTTTCTCATAGAAAATTTTCTTGAGGAAAAAGTAAAGGAAGAGAGAACTTTTTTTCCTTCAAAGCCTAAATTACTTGTATAGAGATATGATTTGAAGGAGAACTCAGTAAAATTTGTCTTATCCTAAAAATCCTGCACCCCTAAAAAAGAGAAGCAGAGTTTACCACAAGCAAGGAAACAGGAAAATAACTGTCAGACATTCTTTCAAAAGGCCCTTCAAAGGTTTTACAGCAGATGGATGAATAGACCACTCTGTATCTCTAGCCAGATTCAGATCAGTGCTTGTTATAGTCTGTAGATGCACCTTAACTCAGAAGAACTGTTTCAGGATATTTACTTTGAACAAAAACACCCCACCAGTGAGCCTTAGATAGCAAATTAGTCCTTACAGCTGTATTTACTGGCTCATCGGCAGTGTACAAAACATGATATGTGACTTGGGAAAACTAGTACTTCTTCACCCCAAGGTGAATACACTGTCCCAATTACAGCTCCAGTTTTCCACCAGCCATAAGCTTTTGTAGATTAATTGTTTCAGTGCAGTAAAGATTGCTGACTGTGGCCTTTAACAAGGGTGTGGGGACACTCAAATGCCTTGAGCACTATGCAACTTTCTCATCACTCAGATGCTATTGTAATAGCAGAAATCTTCCTGCTGCCACTCTCTGCAGACAGTTCTTCCACATCCATATGGGACAATGTTCTCATCAGTAGAGGAGGAATCTGTCCTTCCCATCTGTTTATGTCAATGAGCCGATCAGCAGGAACTCGTCTTCCCAGCACACTCCTCTGTCCCTTCAGTGTGCTTCTGGGAGGCTTGTCCCATGCCGTGACATGAAGGAGGCTGTGAATAATACTAACATTCAACAAGACTGTGGCTTACATGACTGTGGTCTAGATGAGATTCTGATAAACTCTTGATGAAATGCCCTGCTGTAGTGTCAAATTGTTGTGGTGTGTCCACAGTATTTCTGTTCTAGGACATCTGTATTAAAACCTGCAGTGAGTGCCTGAAAATCTTCAGTCTTTCCTTCAGAGTGCTGCTGAATTAATTTCAAGTACAGTGATTGTTGTATGGTAGGAAAGCACATCTCTTTAATCAATATAAAGATTGAACTGTTTTACTCAGCAGTCTGTCTTCTGCATTTGGGCAGAAAAATGTGGACATGCTCCTCCTAAACAATACCTACGCATGCCATGCTGGGGTGCTGACAGATGGACATTCTGTATTTACCAACTCCCCCCTGTGGTTTCTTTGCTGTTGGATGTGACATTCTTCAGATGTCTGTTTTATGAATGTCAAAGACCACATGGCTATTTTGCAAAGAGTGGAATTGTTTAAGCAAAATCTTGGCCTGAGTCCCTATTTTAGTTTTTATTTCCTAAGTTCTGCTACTGAGACCAGAGCAGATCTTTCCAAAAGCGAACGTTCCCCATCAGTGTGACACCTTTTAATTCCAGTAATGAATAAACTTGGTCATTTGCTCTGTTCCATACTTAATGTTTTCACCTGATCTAGTTTCTTAACAGCACTGCCACAACAGGAGCAGTATAGGATCTTACTTGATTTATCAAACTAATGAGTTAGTTTTATTGTAAGTGATTAAATGTGTTTTACTTTTTAAAGCACAGGAACTGAAAAGAAATGCATTGTTACAATCTGAAAATAACTAGAAAGATAAGTTCATTAACTTGCCTACACTTGTGCATCATAAAAACCTTGTTAAAAATTACTCCCTAGCCTGCTGTATTAGCTTCTTTATGAGGTAATTTCTCCATACAGTAATAAGATTTTTCTTTTACTCTCCAGTGCATATTAAACCCACTAATCTTCTTTTATAAACTATAGTTTCAGCCACTTTCTCAATTTACTCACTTTAAAGATATTCTCCTATTAATATTAAAGGTAGCAAGCACAGATACGAACTTTGCAAAACAGTCTTTCAAATTTATGGCACAATCATACCACTGCATTGCAATGGCACAAAAGGGACAAAGCAGTAACTGTCAAATATGTCTCATGACAAACCAAACAATGTTTGTCCCCGCAGAATTATTTTCCCATCACATTTATTATGCGAATGAACTATGGGCATGTTTTCCCCTCTCTGAGCATAAATACAAACTCTGAATATTCAGTTCTCTGAGGTCTGCACAATTTGCATGGATGTGGAGGATTAAAGACCTGCTCCACCAGGGTGTTGCTGCAGTTTTACACCAGTATCCACGCCTCTGATTTAGAATGGATGCAGTCAGGGTCTTGCCAGAGAGGAACAGGTTCTAGGCCACCAATTCTGTTTCCAATAATGCAGTGGCCAAATTCCCCTTGAGCCACAGTGAAGTTGTTCAATTGGTTGAGTATGGGCAAGAAAAGGAAAAATACAAATGGGCTATAAATAAACCTTTGATTTTTCTCAGCTATAAAATAAGAGAAGCCTTAAAATTCCAATAAATAATCTTTGTGCTGAGTACCAGTAATTTATTATTTTGATTATCATTAGCATTTTTATTATCATTTGAAGTGTGGCCATCTCTTGTTATGGCTAAGGAAGCCCTGGGGTCAGAAGCTGTGCAATTGTTGAGCAACCAGTCAATCCATACAGTACTTAAGAATCATATTAAATTCAATACTGTGTTCTGCAAAGTGTAAGAGTCAGTTTATCCATACTTCTTTTTTCTTCTTTTTAATATTATCCAATCTATTTTCGTGTTCTAACAGAGGCTCCTAAGACAGTGCTCTAACATCAATTATCATCTCAAATATCATTAGAACTGTTTCAATGTAGAGGGTTAGGTAGAGTACGGGCTATGCTGCACATCTGACACTGTGTAGGATAACCTGCAAGCACAAGTGTTTAGTACTGGCATAATTCCAGTCATTAACAGACACCTAACAATTAAAACATATGCAGTTATACTTAGAAAAAGATGTGACTAAGGTGATGCTTTCTCAGACAGGACCGAGAGACATTTCCTTCATTATGGCTGCACCACTCACAGTGCCCCTCAGCACCAGGGAACTCAAGCAAGGAGCCATTCCATTAGTTGTAGGGCAGATCCATTACCAAATGAGTCAGTGTAAGTGATAACGAAGAGGGATGGAAATCTGTAACCCTGTCTTTTTCGGAGCAGATTGATGCTGTAGCAGTGCATGCATTTACAAATAGATTTGAAGGCTCTTGCTGAGTTCTATGGAGAAGCTGGTGGAAAACCAAGGGATATTCAGGCTCCCATTACTAGGAAGAAGATACAGGTAATGTCGGTCTTACACAAATACACAAATTTTGATTGCTGTATTTTCTGAGGTTAGAAAATTACATTTGTCTATCCAGATTTATATTTCTTCATAGTGTCACGCTGTTCCTGTACATTTGAAGTCAAGATATCACAGAAATTCAGAGCTCTAATATGCACCAAATATGCTTTTAATTCATTAACATCAGCATCCCACCAAATTCAGTGTAATCACTGGTTTGAGTCAGAGCTGACTGAAGAGTTATGGAATAATAGGACAAGAGTAAGAATAAAGCCTCTTGTTAGTGTAATGTTTATATAACATCTCTAGTATTTTGGAAGGGAAGAATGTCTCTGTGAAGTCCTGCCCTTTCCCAGAAAAAACTTCCATGGATAATCTTACACATTGAAAAAGTCACTGGACTAATCCACAACATATTTGTTCAAAGTTCTCCTCTGGCAAAATCCACAGAAATTACATCATAACAGAGCTGCTTGCTCTCAAAACAGAAGTGTACTTACAATTTTAGAGGACAATCGGTCTACTGAACACTATTGGAGAATTTTTCAGTGTAAAGCTTTATTTCTATTCTTTAGATTTTAAAATACACCCTAGTAATTTGTTCATGCATTCAGTGTTGACTTGTCATAGAAAAACATACATGCAATCAGACTGGTGCAACTTGATACCTTACAGCTAAAAAATTGAAAAAGTGACTTGTTGAAAACCATTGTTTAAAGATGTTCCCATGACAGGAGAGCAGGGAGAGAATGAACACAATCTTATGAAATGAAGTGTTTGCAAAAAAGCAGAGCACGTGTATTCATTATTTGATATTTTCTGAAAAAATATTTCAAGCATTTAATTTCCAGTAATGTGCCATTTTTTATTACACACAACCAGATATGGGCACATTCCTTGTTTCCATTAATTAGTCTTTAAGAAAGAAATATAAGTTTGGAGAAAACTTATGAACATTTTTCATAACACTTGTTATGTCACACTTCAGTAAAAGTTTACAATCTCAAATGCATATTTAGTTCCAGAAGTTATTTGATATCTTTTTTATTATTCATATGTTTGTATATGAATAAAACCATGTCATGTGTCTAGACCTGAGAAATACATGTGGTCAAAAAAAAATGTTTCGTTTGATTTTTTTCTATCACTTCTCAGAATATCAGTTTGCAGTATTTCTTGAGTGAAAAAAATGTATTATGCCTTATCAATGGCTGTATCACCTTTCAAATTCTTAGAAGAGAAAAACAGTCACAATTAAAATTTTATTTTTCAGAAGACTAAATAAATCTATTTTTTTAAATCTGTGAAGACAAAGTAGAAAGGAATTCAATGAATTTGAGCCTCCAAAATTAAAGGTATTTGCAAAGAGCTCTCTTAACTAATCTGTCTTTTCATCATGAAAGAAGCTATTTTATAATAGTGGCAGGGAGAGAAGTCCATGGTGATATGAATGAGAAATATGTCATTTTCACCTCTGTATGGTCAAGACTGGCAATAATATTCCTAAAGAGAAATTTTGCTAAAGTACCAATTTCACAGGACTTAGGGGAAGTATGAACCTTAGTTCTTTCTTATTTTGGAGAAAAATAGCCTTGAATTAGTACCAAATCTAAAACTTGGTGCAGTTTTCACAGAAGCACTATTAAAAAAAGGAAAAGACTCATGCTGCTTCAGAGAGCTTTCACTTGCACCTTTTCCATTCCACACAAAGAGCTGGAGCAGTTCTGATGTAAGTAACATACGGCTAATTTGCTGTATTTATGTCACACTGATATGATACTGACAGTATTCACACAATGGAGCCATTATCTGTTAAGACATATGTCTTCCTGGTTTCTGGGTATGTGCAAGGGTCAGAGGAGAACCTGGGCTTTTACAGACAGTTTGAGAAATCCAGGATCATAGGAAAGTGGAGAGGTATAATAGGCAGAATTATCTCTGCCCACTCAGAGGTCATGAGCATGATTTTCAGACATTTAGCCTCATTTAGACACAAAGATAATGTAAGGTGCAAGCGCTCAGTTTTATTTCCATGCAAGGGTGGATCTTTAGTGTTTGCTGATGTAGGAAAGATTGAAGGAGCTTTGCTTTGGCCCCTTCCACTGAAACAAATATAAATCATGGTTAAATCTGTATTCCTACCAGTGAAATTGAATCCAAACCCACAGTCATGTACAAGACAAAGACCAGGAGTTTAGGCGCAGGGATGCATAAACTACTGGGGATCAGCAAAACACCCCACCTGAGTGGACCCCTTGTCAAGAAGAGATGTATTGCTCAGCAGAGTTTAAATTGCTGTCTTTACCTCCTTCATTTCCATATTCAAAGCTGCCCTTCTCAGCTCAGAAGCAGCACACTCACAAAGTAACCCACCAGACTAACACTGTGTCTCAATGACCTGTAAGAAGTTAGCTGAGTTACGTTAATGGGTGATGAGCCTTCCTGACCTAAAGCACAGATGTTACTCTCTTTCACACATTTTATATCCTATGTGGACATCTTTTTAAAGGACCAAACAGTTCCCAACAGAATATTTGTACCAAGCCTTTTAAGGCTCATTCACATTTATTTTCTTTTATATTTTTTCACCGTTAAAGGTCATTTCACAAAAGAGATCAAAAGGAACCTTTTCCATTCCTCCTCTGCAGGTGGCCAGCAGCAGATTAACTACTAACAGAGACTTCAATATATAAATCTGAATGACTTGTTTTACACAGCAATGCAATGCTACTGTCATATGTCGTGTTTGCATACATTAAAGTATCTCCCCTAATTTCCTTCCCAAATGATCCCTCACTATTCTTTCCCCAGAATAATTGCTTGCAAAAAATCATCTGTTTTGATATTTACAAAAAGGTACCTTGAAGCTGAATAAGTACCTCATTTTACCAAAGAAACAGAATGCCTGCTAATAAGGTCCTGTAAGAACAAAATGTGCATCTAAAGTCAGCTGCCTTTGTCCCAGATAGGAGTTAGCCCCTGTAATCTTGTTTCTCCAGAACTCTTCCCAAGGCAAAACTGAGCCTGAAATTGTAGTAAGACAGATTCAAATGTGCTTTTTCCATTAGTTCTTGAAGCAAAAGTGTTCAAAACAAACAAAACTTTATTCATCCATCAAGCAAAAATGTGGCTTTCCAATGAAAAGTGCTGCCTTCAGTTAGTGGAAAATTCAGAACCTTTCTTTAAAATATCTTTTGATTTTGTTGTCAGCTATTAAAAAAAAAAACTTAAATAACCTTTTTTTTCTAATTGGGCCACAGTTTAAATAACATTAGCATGTCCTTGCAGGGCTGAATACCACTGACTATTGTGCCCTTCAGCAGGTAAAATTGTGAATCTTCTTTGGTTGTGTTGCCCTATTTCTTTTAAGGTAAAAACTGGTGAAATAGTGAGGACTCCTCTTGTAAAAAAAATAATAAAAGAATGTCTGAGAAGGATTCTGTGAAGAAATCAGCTGCTTATATATCCATTTTGCTTCAAAGCTATAAAAATAGGATGTTCGCTTCCTGACCCAAGTATGTAGGGCAGAGAATAGAAATGGGAGACTTTTTCAGACTAAAAAGAACAGTTAAGAAATAGATTGGCAGTCTCAGAAGGCAAAGTGATTATCAAAACTTAGAGATAACTTTCCAAGTTATTATACACCTAAAGAGGGTCTATCAAATGATCTGCTCCTGCCCTAGACATCTGAAATTGAACTTTCCCATTGCACTACCCTGGTACTGTGAGTGTGCCTTCACTCACAATACATCAATCAGAGAACATATTATCTCCAGACTTCTGAGTATTTAGGTAGTCTGCATTGAAGCAAATTTCTCACTTCCCACCACTGATATTTCAATTAATAGTGCATCTCCCCACTGCAGGGTCTACCAGTGAGCTCCTTGACTTATTGTGCAGATTTGATGCCATCTTTTAATTTTAAAACAAAGAATAATTCTTTTCTCTTTTTTTTTTTTTATCATGTAGTAAATGTTTCTTCGTAATGTAACCTGTGCAAGACCCTTCCTTGTAGAGCCAGCATGTAACACCCCAAGTTGGTCCAGGGACATAATCACTTCTATTCATCTGGGATGGGCTTCAGTGTCACAGCATGTCCAAGCATGACTTCAGCTTGCACAAAAGGAAAAAAAAGGTTCTCTGAAAAACTGTTGTATGAAATGTGACTTTTAATGAACTATTCCAGGCTAGATTCACTTTTAAGGGAAGGGCAAGGGGGCAAGAAAAGGTGAAGAATAATTGGCTGCTCCTTCATTTCCTACCATAAAACGGTATTTGTGTAAGATACATGTGCCAGGGCTCAGGAGAAAGCAGTCTCCACCATCTCTCACTGGGAAGAGAAAGGCTGTGTTATGGCTTCACCAGGGCAATCCTGGTGGTGCAATCCCTACGGGAAGGACAAGCTCTTGGGCTAAAAAGAAGAAGCTGGGAAGTCCAGGACTGGCAGTCAGAAGAGTTCCCAGTTTTTCTTACCACCACAGTCCAAATCAGCCAGTGTCTCCTGGAGTTAGGGAACATTAGGTGTTGCTTTCTAGCTGGGTAGGAAAGTCCAACTTCTACCTGAGCTCTAGAGACAGTTTGGGCAAACAGTGTAATGAATAAGGAATGACACAGCTGGAGAAAAATGGAAGACCTGGTTTTCCTTATAAGCGGTATTTTGGCTGTGCCACTGTGTGAGTGACGTTCCAAACCGAGCTGTGTGTGACACGAGGCTAAACTCTAACATACATTTATGGGCTGGAGTTTTTCAACATGTTGACTCTCACCTGCAGCACCCTTTACTCACTACTAAGGTGACACAGAGCCCATTGTTTTCTGTTGCTTGCTGAATCTGCCTCGCATCTCCTGTAGTGCAGTTGAGCTTGACCTGTTGAAATCAATTGGAATAACTCCAGCCTGTTATATTTTCTCTGGCATTTTAGTGCAAAGCATGATCCCCTAGCACAATTACAGGTGTCTGTCTAACCCCACTGTGATGTAAGTCTGAGAAGGTGTCTGACTGGTTTTGACCTTCAGTGAAAGTAGGTCACTAGGAAATCTGGCAGCATTTGACATAAGACACAAGTGTATTATTTGTGTTTTAAGGTGCTTAGATAGATTCAGAAGTTAGTGGCAAACTGGTGCTTTGTCATGATGTAATACAGCTTAGGGGAATCTGTAAAGTCCATGAAGACAACATTTTCAGTAGCATGAAAGCTTCCTCATGGGAGTATTGCACTCAGGCAGCAATGCCCATAGAAACACTGGGTTTTGGCTATGCAGACGAAGATCAAACCGGGTCCTAAAGCAGTCTGTGTCAGTGAAGGCGTTGAGAAGCTTTGACTGTGTGTTAATTTTTTGTTATTTTTGTCACACGTACGTTGTGAACGATCACATCAATTAAATACCTGCACTGCACCTGAGACACTCATCACCTGATACTGAATTCTAGAGCCACAGAATTTTGATAGAAAATACTTGACCTTATCAAATTGTCAATAGGACTGAATCTTCAGCATTTTCTAGACTTATATGTATTAAATGACACTACTAAAATATCTGGTGCTTCTACTGTAAATAATATTTGGATTAAGCTAACATTAATAGCTGCTAAAAATACCTCACTAAAGCAGTGGGAAAGTGAGACAAATCCCTCTATTGCAGAATGGACAATATTCTTATCCAATTCAGCAGCAGAGGAAGAGATACTCTCTCATAGTGGAAAGGAACTATTTTTAGGAAACATGGGCAGCTTGTGAAGAGATAAAGCACAGGTATAAGTGTAAGAGGTTTAAGCTTATTAAGAGAGTGTATTTAAGATGACAAACATGAAATTAATGCTTTTTTATTTTATTACTTGAAGACTAATGCAAATACATGGAATATCATATATAAGTTAGATGTGTTCCTGCAAAAATGCATTCATGCATTCTTGCAAACCTGCCCACACTGGCACAAAGAGAAGATTGTTCTAGCAGAAATGGAAATAGCATGGGATAAAATTCCATTGCAGCCATACATGTCCCAGATAAGATCCTGAGATGTGGTCCTCCAGCAGCCAGCTACCAGCCTTGTCTTCAGAGAGAGAAAAGAGATGTTCAGCCAATGACTAGATAATCAGTGTCTACCCAATGACACATCTCCCTATTTAAAAATCAATTTAAGACAGCATTGACAGTTTCTGACAAGGTACCATAAAGAAATGTCCTGCAAAACTGATTTCTACATGTTTTAAATGTTTGTCTCAGCAAAGATGTGAACCAAACTTTAGGGAAGTTTGTAAGCCAATCTCAACTAAAAACTGTAATTGAGGCAGATGTAGGAGCTGGATCTTGCAAACTTTGCATTTAGTCACACTAAAAAGAAACCTAATCTATTAATCTATTATTAATCTAGCAGTTACAGTCATATCTGTGCTAACTTTAGAAAGTCAAAAATTGTTGTCATTCCCAATAGACATTGAGACTTTTCAGAAAGATTATTTTTAAATTTAAATTTGAAATTTTTTTTTTTTATTTGCCTTTTTAAGTCCAGCCTTTGGGATGCATACTTTCAAGACTTATCCTCAATCAAGAAGCACTGAAATTTAATTTTTAGTTTTCTTAATGGAAACTAAGACTCTTAAACAATCACATATCTTCAGCAGTTGGGGCTTTAAGGAAAGTACCAAATATTTTTAGATGTGCAGTAGTATCAACATGCATAATGATTTTCAAAGTCTGTCTCCTATCTAGAAAATCTAATGATAAATTTGTTCAAGACAGAAGATACTGCATGAAGTGTGTTCCATACAGAAAGAGACCCCATACTTGCCAATTGTTATTTGTTCCATAGCCTTTTCTAATTAGTAGAGTTCCTTCAATTAGTAGCTGGAATTGGTTTGCATACATCCTCCAAATTGCTGTAATCAAGCCTCAAAGTAGGGGCCTGAAAAATAGAGGGTGGCAGAGTGGTAATAGAGGGGTTGCTGGTGACTGACTGTACATCCAGCAATAGCCAGACATGAACCTCACAAATCCAGACATACCTTTGGCTTCCCAGCCACCTGGATGTGTTTTGTTGTATTTCTCCACTCTTTCACATGTTGCTAAAAGACAGTATTAGGTCTAGAGCATGACAGATAATATGGATTAGAATAAGCTGCCTTTTTCCAGGCAGAAATTCCCAAAAGAGGTACTCAATTCCTTAAAGAAACAGCTGTAGACATAAGTATCACTAATGACTCACGTTCCTTTGCCCATTTCCAGGGTTCCTAATGAAGGGCTACACTCGGTGCTCAAACATGTAGTTAGAGCAGGGCTGGGAACTTGGTTCCTTTTCATTCAAAACTCCCTTTGATAGTAATTGAACTGTTAAGTAATTAGTATAAACTCTGTCTGCATGGAAAAGAATGATCAAAATGATCAAAATGTCAAACAAAAAATCTCAAAAGCAAATATAAACAAAGGCAAAAAATCTTTTCTTTTTTTTTTTAACTAGGAAACAGCAAATTCTCAACCTATGGAACAACCTACTTGACAGGTCTTTTCCATCACGTCAATTCAAATTGGACACACTGCAGCTTTTTGTGAACAGTCCAGCAATATAATATGTTATACTTGTTAGACCATTACATCAATTGGTGTTAATATTGTCTCATAGCCATGTCTCTCCTATTCAACCAGTTCATGAATGACAGATAGCAATTTTGTAGTAGTTTATATCAAACAATTCAGAATAACTTTGCTCACTGTTTGGTCAGACTGCTTTTCAGTCCAGGAACTGACAACCATCAGCACAACCAGGTTGTCAGGAAGAACTCAGCTGCCATTTAGGGCTGCATGAGCTTTGAAAAAGATCTCAGGAGCTACCAAGTTCCCCCCAAAACTGCAGTGAGTTTCACCCAGACTGTGTCAGCCATTACACAAAGAGAAATGTATGCAAAAGTACAAATATGACTGAGGTTTTGTGTAAAAAATAAAGTATTCAGAGGCACTCCTGCTTGGATGGCTAAGATTTTATTAATGACAAGAGTATCAGATGAAAAATAAAATAGGGTCAACTTCTGCTGTCAAAAAAAAAAACCCAGTAATGAACTCTGAAAATAATATTTGTCAATTTTCATGAGTGTTTGTCTAGTCCACAGCAGACCTGGGAACAGCCATGAACCATGACAAACCAAATTCAGCGTGGAAATTGTACTGAAACAAGGTTTTATTATTTGACTTTGTTCCTCTCCCTTTGTTCATACACCTTGTCAGGAGAAACTGAATAAGCAGGAAGAACCAAAACAGCAAAGAAAAAATTCAAAATATTTCAAAAATAAATGGACTGTAGATCTTCAGCTGGCTTAAATTGACTTAGCTTCACTGATTCAATTGTTAAGCATTAAACATAATAATGTTTCTACAGATTTCATAGCAGGTGAGACTCTGCCTGTGCTCTTCAAAAGGGACACTCTCCAAATTTAATTTTTGATTTAGAGCAGTTAGACAGCTCCTGTTCTCCATCCAGGGAGCTTGCTGGGCTGACAAACGAAAACTGCCTGCATGAGGCTGACTGCCCCCAGTCCCACAAAGCCATCTATATTCTTCAGTTGCTCTAACTCCACTGAAGTGGATGGAGTTGGAGCAATTTAGCAGCAGCTAATGAAACACGCTCACCTATCATAGCCCACAAAAATGTTCGTGCTGTATCTCTGCCGATAAACTGTGGACTATGTGATAATACTGACTGCCTGCAAACAGAAATCACTCGGGCACCATAAGGAGGGTTCGTCCTTAGAGATTTGCAACAGATTTTGCTCTCCAGTATTGAAATGCCATGAGCCTAAAAGGAGGAAAAGAACAGTAGGACTAAAGTGTGTTGGACATGCCAATAAATTAATGATAAATTATTAAAGCATGATTGGAAATATTGCCATTTTTCACAGCTGTCAGTTTAAGTATAAATGCATCAGCACATTAAACTAGTTACTGCTTTTCCATAATTGAGACTTTAGCTTCTAGCTGTGCCCTGCAGCTTTTCATTAATCACTGGGACTGAAGTTCAAGCACAATGACAGCTTAGAAGGCATTAAATGGGCAAAGTATTTTCCAGGTACAGCTAGTAAAGGCCTTTTAGTCCTATAATCCTCAGCTAATTGTTTTTCAAAGTCTCTAAATAAAATCTGCTCATGGCGTCTCCTAGTGACAGAATTAGCAGCAGACTGGTTCTTTTTTGTCTTCACATTCTTTCTTTCACCAAAATCTATTGAGTGCCTATATGTTAGCTGTACATAGCAGGTGCAAATGGATTGCGATATGTAAAACTGTAACCGATATGCAGCCGGGGACACATTGATTAGATTGCCTGGGAAATAAAACTTCCTGAATGCTTGCTCTAATCATACCATTTAATTTGTCACGAAAGAAGCAAGATGGCATGGAAGGCTTCTACACAATCTCCCTTTAAACATGGGAGAAGGAAATGTGCAGATTTTAAAATTCAGTAAAATTTGCATATTCAGTACCCTGGAATAAACAGACATTTCTTCTGCCGTAGCAGAGGCTGTAGGTTCCCCTTTTGGCTCCCTAGTATTCCCCCCTTTGCAAAGATTTGTACATCAGGACTTAATAGATGTGCCAAAACATTCTTCCTTTTGTATAACAAATTATCAACTGCACCGAGATTCATTAATTATGTCATCTAATTGGATTGAGGCAGGTGCAAAATACCTCAGATGAAGTGGTCACTGGCAAGAAGGCCTAAGCACAAGTTTTTCTATTAGAAATCAGCATGTCTCCAGACTCCTGGAATTACTTTGTACTTATTGATTAATGGCCATAATTTATTACAGTGCAGAAGATCTTGCATTGAGTTAAATGTGTGATTAATCAATTTTCCATCAAATTATGAACAGCAGAACAGTTGCAAGAAAGAAAATACCAAGTGAATTTTTCCCATGGTATATGAATAGAGGGTATGAGGACTTCTGCTTGAGGAGAGCTAATAACTGTCTAGCACTTGTTTAATATTTCCTGCCATACTGATGAATGCCATCCACATAAATGGGCCACAGGTAGCAGTGATTGAAAGACCACCAAATAGGTTTTATAGCTGCCTCTCTTATATAATGAAATATTCTTTAAGCCCATCTCAAAACAATTTATTAATGCAAAATGCATTTCTGCCTTCAGCCTGAAATATATCATTGTTAAGTCAACAATATTATATTAAACCGATAACTGATATTGCAGAAGGAAAAATCCCTAGGCAATGTAGAGATGAATTTGAGATTTTGTGTACAGAAGCTCATTTTTATTTCCATCAGAAACACAGACATGTGACTAATTGATGTCACTTCTAATCAGCTAGTAATGCACATTACAAGTATAGCATGAGAACATTTGGGGCCCAATTGGAGGGGGAAAAATCCCATGGTATTTCTATGCCTTTTATTGAGTAGAGTGACAAGCTTCCTTTCCCTGGTGAAGCAGCATATGCTGTTGAGTTTTATATTACCCTACATCTTCCATAGGCTGTTTTGCTTTGCTATACACTGAGAAGATGCACCTTCCTCACTGTAGGAGAATGGCATGAAATACAAGTTGAAAACACTTCCAGAGGGCAAAAGAAATTTAAGTAACTTTTTAAAAATATGAAAAGCAATATGAAGCATTTGTAAAATGAAAGTGCAAAGGATTTTTTCTTAAATGTCTCTGTGATTGATCAACTTTTGTTTTTCAAATCACAGTGCCAGATTACTCACAGTGGTTTAAGTTGCAGAAGCTGCCTGGCCGCTGTGCAGTTCATGTTCTAAGGTATACAGGAGTAATTTCTGCTAGCTTTGGTGTCTTTCCTTGGTAACTGCCCAATTTCCAGGGAGTAGAGTCCTATTCATCCCTCTTGCTACAGACTACAGGAGATGGGCACTTGTGACTTGTCACTGTTTCATATACACAAATTTCCTTTTTGCTGCACTCAACTTCCCAACTAGGACAGGGACCTTTCTTCTCTGTTTGCTGCCTCTGTTGGCACTGCATCTGAGGTAAGGACTTCTGTTTTTAAAATCATGACCTCCAAAATGTCCTACCAAATCCTGTAGATGGTGCAAGGAGGCCGTTCAAATTTATGCTCATTTTTTTTGTTGGCCAAAAAGTCACAGGGCCAACTCTTCAGAAAACAAGTGGAGAACAACTTGAAACTGTGTTCTTTTAAAATATCTCCAGTAGTCTAAGCTGTCTGTAACACTCAAAAGTGACTATTTTTGGTGGCTTTTCTGGGCTTTTTCGGAAACTAACTGAAAGTAATTATGCTTGGCAAACAGATGGCTGTATCTCAACATCCCACCAAAATCAATATTCCTTTCCTCTATTTGTATCATCACAGAAAGATAAATTCAATGGATCTAAACTAGATTTGTTGCCAGAAGGAGAGGTTAGAAATTTAAATCTGAGAAAAAAAAATTGTAAAATATGTTTTCTATTGTATAAATAAATTCTAATGTGGTATTTAATCAACAAATCATTAACTGCTGCATTAGGAATGTCAGATCTCACTTAATCTGCATGTTGGAGCATTGCCTGTGGGATGTGGGAGAGCTTGTTTAGAGCTTCACCCACACCTCAGAAAACTGAACCTGTGGAGGAAGTTCCTTTCCCATTCATGTTGTCTTTAATAATGGGAAGTGTGGGATGATTTCACCCACACTGTGTTTTTCTGTGACACCCATTAAATGATGTTTGCATTCCCTGAGTGGTTAATGTACTGAACTTACCTCTCCCCTCCAAAGAGAGCTACCATGCAGTAGGGGATGGATGCTGAATCCATACATATATACTCTGACACATAGTCTATGATTTTTCATGTGTGTGATCAAGAAACATATGGAACATATTACAAAAAGTGAAGACTGGAGGTTACTGCTACCCTGGGAAAGTTCAAAATTGCATTGC